AGTCAGGGGATTGTAAAAGAACTCCTGTGTTTTCTCATGCTTGTCAACCTTTAAAATCCCTTTACCTAGGAATTAGTGGAGACAAATTTACTGTTAGAACTCCCTAGTTATTAAGTCAAGGAGATAATAAACTAGATTCATCACTGAAGGCCAAGTTCCCAGATAACTGAAAGAAACATGATTTTTGTTTTAAATTAAAAATGGGTGATGTGAAGGCAATCTGGCCAGTGAGCAAATGCTCTAAGTAAACTGAGAACATACCTTAAACTGCTAACGACCAAGGTGTTGATCAATGCTGGTAGATTAGTTGAGGAAATTAGTGTTTCTATTCAGTATCCAAGATCCTTCTAATAATGGCATGTTTAAGCAAGCTGTCCTCCTTAAACACTGGATCCAGCTGGAATGCTTTAGTAATTGAGTTGACACCTGTTACACCATTTAACAGACATTAAATACAGTTTTTCTGGCCGTTACGATCATTGCCATGGACCATTCCTGCAGTATAGTGCAAAACTTTGACGGCCACCCCAGCTCTCTAGCAAGCATAGATAAGGAAGTGGCTTGTCACCAGCCTCTGTACAGGCAACTCCAGAAGACTGGCAAACGTTTCTAATTTACACCAGTTCCTAAAGACAGTAAATCTTTAGCTTGCACATAGCACAGTATTAAATAGAGCTCCCAGCTGTGACAACTTGCTTGAGGTCTTGGAGGCCCCTTAGGCTACATGGTAGACTTTATCTTGAGTGTTCAACAGGCATTAACTATAGCTTTTTTACATTTGCATATGCATGAGTTATACTCATGCAAGACTCCAGTCCCAAGTTACTTTTTAAAGAGCTTAATTTATGTCTTGGTGATGTTTCTACGCTCATTTCCATTGGGTCATTATATGTAACGTGCTTTGTAGGCACCTTTGCTTGCAATTTCAGTTAAGGAAGAGCGTTAGCATCAAAAAGAAAAGGGAAGTTTGGGGCTTGGGCTTTTTTTTTTTTTAAACTGTCCTAGAAACCGAAGGGTGCTTCCACACCAAGCATTGACAGCTGCCATCTTTGAGGATCTCATTCAGTGATCCGTTTGCTCCACAAGTGCCAGCACCACAGTTTGCTAATTGCACGCACTCCCTCGTCCTCCAGCCTGAGAATGGCAGGTGGCTGCTTGTCACTGTGGGCAAGTTCCCAATTAGGCACAAACAGGTGCACACATCTGCTGGGGGTGGCTGTTTCCACACAACTGCTCCAGCGCACACAAAGGGTGGCCTCAGCTCTGCCAGCCATGTGGCTCTCTCAAAAATGAGTGAGGTTGGCACATTCCTACAGGGTTTTTGCGGTCAGTAAAGAAAAACAAGAGCCCGTGAAAGGGGCTTGGGAATGCCAAAAGGAATCATCACGGGAAAAAGAGCTGCGGTGGCTAAATGGTGGGTCATGGGCCGCTTCCTTCTAGAAAGCTGTCAGAATAGGAACTTGGAATACCTAAAGGAGGTATTACCAGGTATTTAATCTAATTATCAGCCTAGATAATTAGATAAAACGCAGTGTTCTTCATTGTGGTATCTGAATTCCTGCTGAAAGGATGAAGAATAGCAGTTTCTGGTTTGTTACTGAGAAGGAGCTAGTCTTGTAGATTTATGGGCATTGTCTTTGGCTAGGACCTGGAGAAAGCAGTCCCTCTTGGCAGTTCTGGTCAAGTTCGTCTTTAAAATAACACTTCCGTTGCATTCGGGTCAAGAACGTCCAGACAGGACTTTCCTGGTGGCGCAGTGATTAAGAATCCGCCTGCAAACGCAAGGGACACGGGTTCGATCCCTGGTCCAGGAAGATCCCACATGCCGCGGAGCAACTAAGCCTGTGCGCCACAACCACTGAGCCTGCGCTCCAGAGCCCGCGAGCCACAACTAGAGAAAGCCCACCCGCAGCAAGGAAGACCCAACGCAGCCAAAAATAAATAAATTTAAAAAAAAAAAAAAAAAAAAAAAGAACGTCCAGACAGGGTGAGTGCGTTTCCTGCTGGAACGAGGCAGAGACATCTCCGTCCAGGCTTGCTCGCCTCCCGGCTGTTTAGAGGCCCTCCCTTGGGATTCTGAGGTTGATCCTCATTCATATGAACCTAGCCTCCCACGCTGCCTGCCTGTCAGCCCCAGGAGGGGCCTTCTCTGCCCAAGCCAGACCTGGCTGCCTCCACCAGCTCAGTGGATCCACGTGGCCTTGGCTCCCAGGCAAATTCCCCCGCAGGGGTTCTTCGGAGGGTGAACAAATAAGCACTCAGCTACTGTCAGTCCGCTCAAACGTGAAATCCTTCAGGTTCTAAACTCTGAAAATGATCAGGATTAACTTAAGAATAATGCACCAGTGTTTGAAACACTTGCCTCCTAAATGGCAACGGGTTTGCTCATCAGTACCCTCCCTTACACCCACTAACCAGATTTGACTTAGTTTTAGGTGAATTCTATCACCCGGAAGGATGTGTAAAACATGTATGAATGGTTTAAATAACAAATTAGAAATTACACAGCCACGTAACCGCACCCGATGAAGAATGTTGCCAGGATCCCACCCCACCCCCATTGTGTAGTGGACCCCCCTTTCCCAGTAAAAATCCCCTCTTTTCCCCAGAGGTGCTTGGGCTGTATAGAACATATTTTCTTGTTTTGCTTTATACTGTATCACCTACGTATGATTCTCTGTAGTTTCATTTTGTTTGCTTTCGAACTTATATACATGGGATGGTGATGTATATATTATTTTGGGTCTTGCTTCTTTGCTAAATATCGTGAGATTCATTATGTTGTGTGAAGCTAGTCTGTATTTTGTTTGCTGCATGGTATTCCATTGTATGAATACTGTAATTTTATCATTTCTACTGTTATGGGATATTTGGGCTGTTTTCTTTATTTGTCTTACTGTAAATAATGCTGCTATAAACCCTTTTCTTTTGCATAAGTTTCTCTAGAGGTATACCTAGGAAAGGATCTCTGGGTCATGGGGTATGCAGATTTCCAAAAAGATCATGTCAATGGGCATTCTACAGCAATGGATGGGAGTTCCTATCACCCTTCATCTTCATGTAACCTCAGTGCAGTCGGGTGCAAAGTGGTAATTCATTGAAGGTTTAATTTGCATTTCCCTGAGTACTTATAAAGCTGAACCCTTGCTTCTGCCTGTTGGCCATTTGGGTTTCTACTTGTGCACTGCTTGTTGAACGATTTAACCCATTTTGCTGCCAGGTCATCTGTCTCAGCCATCTTTTTCGTCCTCTTTTAGTGTCATAGACAGGTCCCCAGCTCAATCACCTCCTTATTGGTGGTGGCTTGTTAGAAGTTTTCTGTGTGAATAGATCCTTATAGAAAGTGATGTTGTGTATTCACAAGAAAGGATATTTTGCAATAGCACAAGTGAACAGATTTGGAGGATTAATAGGAACCTTTTCTAACACAAAGAAATTAAGGCTGTGTTTTTTCCTGAGAAAGTAATCTTTTGGGATGGTCCAGATTCCACATTTGTCAGCATTATTTATGTGTCTCATTTACTCATGCCCTACTGATGTTTTGCACTGTAAGTAAATTATCTGAAACTAGAAACCAAGCTGAACTGAGAAGGGCCTCCCTATACATTCTTTACTATTAGTTTGTCAGAAATTGCAAAGCGATAGTGATGGTCTGCAGGTATGTTTTATATAGCCTGCACAATGCTTTACTTTTTATTTTTGGCTTTCCTTTTTTGTTTTTTGGTTGAGGCAATATTTTAAAATTCAGACATTCTAGGTGAAACTCTGAGATTTTGCCTTATTTTTGAAGAAAGTGCCATCATTAGGCAATAGTGGATCCACATTCTCACGTGGCAGAAATTACATTGATCTGAGTGGTGGTTCCCCATCAGCAGTGGCATCTGGTTGTTTCCTCAGTATCCAATCTCCCTTTTCTCCATATTAGTAATAATATTAGTAGCAAGGCATGTGGCTGCCCCAAATAAAGACTACATATCTCAGTGTCCCTTGCAATTATCAAGAGCCTTGTGATTTTTCTGGCCAGTGGGATTAGGGGATGTGGGCAGCTTTCAGGTTCTGCCCCTAAAGGAGTGGCTATGTCCTCCTTTATTCTTTTTCCCCTACGTGATGGCTAAAAGGTGGACATGGTGGTGAGCTATCTCAGACCATGTGAAGGACAGCAGAACCCCACGAACGGTGAAGCAACAAGAGTCTCAGTCCCTGAACACTTCATGCTGTTCTAGCTCTAACTTGTAGGTAAAGAGAAATTAAAGTGTTGATCTCTGTCCCGCACAGTTGATCAAATCTATATCCTAAGTAACTTCAAGTGGGTAACGTTCTTTCCTCTTCCTCATGGTCCCCACCGAGTCCCCATTGTGTCCCTGTGTCTGCTGCCCAGCTTGACTTGCCTTTCTCAGCTGGCTTAGACAGTTGGATTTCTAATACTTCTTTCACTTGGCTCCTGTTAGAGAGTTGCATCTAAGATATATTTGTATTCTAATATTTAATAGTCTAAGAGTGATACAAAAGAAAAATTCTTAAGTCTGAAAGATACAGTACAGTTAGAAGTTTTAGGGTTGAATTATCAGGAGTTTTATAATAATCCAAATCAGGGTTTCTCAACCCTCAGCACTATTAACATTTGGGGCAAGATAATTCTTTGTTGCTGGGGGCCCATCTTGTGTATTGTAGGATGTATAGTAGCATCCTGGCCTCAGCTCAGTAGATGCCAGTAACACCTCCTTCCCCAGTTGTGACTGTCAAAAAATGTCTTAAGACATTGCTAAATATCCCCCGAGGGGCAAAATTGCCCCAGTTAAGAACCACTAATTTAAAGTATATTTCTTTATTTTTTTACCTTTTTTAAAAAAATTAATAGACTTCAGTTTTTAGAGCAGTTTTAGGTTTACACAAAAATTGAGCAGAAAGTATGGAGAGTTCTATATCCTCTCTCCTTCCCCTTCCCCCTCTCTTCACAGTTTCCCCTATCAGTAACACCTTGCATTAGTGTAGTACATTTGTTACAAGTGATGAATCAATACTGACAGATTTTTCTTTTTTTGCCGTTTTACGGTTTTATTAAACAAAACGTGCACACGAGCTGTCAATTCATTTTCTTCGCCGCGCAGCCTGGCGTTGGGATTGGTGACTCTGAGGGCCAGCTGGGCTGCTCTCTCCACAATGGCTTTGCGGTTCTTGGAGGAGACGTTGTGCGCAATCTCAGCACAGTAAGACTTGTTGCACATCAGCAACACTTCAAGCTCCTTGACGTTGTGGACCAGGAACTGGACCAGGAACTGGGCAGAGCCGCTGGGCAGCACGTGCTTTGTTTTCTTGTTGCTCCCGTAACCGATGTTGGGCATCAAGATCTGGCCCTTGAATCTCCTGCGCACCCTGTTGTCAATGCCTCTGGGTTTCTGCCAGTTCCGCTTAATTTTTTTTTTTTTTTTTTTTGTGGTACGCGGGCCTCTCACTGCTGTGGCCCCTCCCGTTGCGGAGCACAGGCTCCGGACCCGCAGGCTCAGCGGCCGTGGCTCACGGGCCCAGCCGCTCTGCGGCATGTGGGATCTTCCCGGACTGGGGCACGAACCCGTGTCCCCTGCATCGGCAGGCGGACTCTCAACCACTGCGCCACCAGGGAAGCCCAGTTCCGCTTAATTTTGACTTACCGGTCTGACTGGTGCCGGATGAACTTCTTGGTCCTCTTTTTGACGATCTTGTGCTTCACGAGGGGTCTGAGGGCAGCCATGATGCCGAGTAGGAGATGGCGGCCACCTCCGTAGGCAGCGCCGAGGAAAAGAAGACGACAGATTATTATTAGCTAAAGTCCATAGTCAAATCATGGTTCACTCTGTGTTCTATAGCTTTTGATAAATGCATCCATGATTACAGTATTATTCACAATAGTTTCACACCCCCCCAAATCCCTTGTGCTCCACCTATTCAATTATATTCCTTTTAAAGTCGTCTAAACTTTCCTTAAAATGATCCCTAAGCCACTTGCCTATTAATGCACATTTTAGTTGCTTCCCAGTGATTGACTAGTATCCCAAAAAAGTCTTAATGAGTAAATATTCATTGTTATTTAGGATGCTGCCTTGTGATTAACGTTTGGTAATTTATTGATTTATTTAGTCACCATTTCCAGATGTATAATGTCTTATCGCATCTTAGGACTAGGGTAGGTTCTAATGGTGCATAGTTAAAATGAAAAACTCCTTGGGAAGGTGACATGTCGAAGGCCAAAGTTCATCTTTCAGTATATCCAACACAGGTAGTATTTTTCTCCAGTTGTAACATGTAGCTATTTCTTAAGTTAGTCACTAGATATACAAGTTGTGTGTTTAGCAGACATGTGTTAAATGCTTTAATACTAGAAAAATCTCAGTATATTGAGAGACTGGTGCTTTAAGGACACAGGAACTAAAATTGTCTTAAAGGACAGCAACTTCAAGTCTCCCGTTTCACACTTATTCTCAACCATGAGCTTGTTGAATAAAATGATGGATAAAATTTCCCTCTTATTTCATTCCCCCCTCTCCTCTCTCCTTTGGCTGACTACATTGGTATAAGTTAAAAGCAACTTCGTCATATGACACTTGTTTCTACGTGCTCAGCATGCAGTCTACACTTTATACGTATTTGCTAAATGAATAAGTGAATTTATGGTAAATAGCAGCTTCTCTTCTACTCTCGTAGGTCTTGATTGCCACAAAATTAACTATAATCCAAAGAAATAAGTGAATGTGAGGCTGAGTTCTTGGAACACAGCACACAGTTCACATGAACCCAGGAGATAACACACATGTGGTTGGTGGTGATGATTAATAACAAAAAGTGTTATCCTTAGTCTGTCACTTTAGAACATGTACAGGTATTTGCCCTTCTCAAAAAATTCATAAGCCAACCTCTTTGAAAAGGAAATGGGATTTGAAGGACAGAGCATAAAAGAAATCATTAAGAGAAATAAATATCATTACTGGGAGTCGACAGGTGACCTTTACTGTGGTTAAATACGATTGTGGTATATATTTTGGTTTTCAGGAAGCCCAAACCAGTTTCCCGAGATTGTCAACGTGGTTAAGCCATACTGCTCAGATTTCAAATGAATAGAGAGATTTATCCTTATATAAGAATGGGAGCCAAGTGACTTTTCATTTCCTGGAGTAATTTGTAAAGTCAGATCTCTCACCTTTAGGAAAGGCCCCAAGCCTAGTTTTGAAATATAGCATTGACAGGTACAAATCATACCGTCTCTAAGCTAGGTGACACTCAACTCTATCTGTTCCTACTGAAAGTAAGTTTATGTACAGGTTGCTCAGGGGGTTCACCTGATTGTCCTGTGGCCTGGTGGGGAAACTTGGTGATAGAACCAGTAAACAAACCTTCTGTAGACATTGAAGGAGAACCAGTTACACCAGGCCTGATCAAGTGACAGGAGAGAGCAATTTCTAATCCAGCACAGTGCACCATAGACCAAACAAAGCCTGTCTGCAGGCCATACTTGGTTCCCTAGTTTGACTTATAACATTTGATCTAGGTAATTGAGTGAATGCTTTGGGAGGAGATTGACCTTGAGTTCAGCGTTTAGTCCTACAGTTGGGGGTTCATCTCTTTCAGTATCATGATTCACATTGGGGCAAACCCTGGGGAAGCTAATGTAAAAATGCTTGAGGGATGGATTTTGCAACTAATCAGTTCAGAGTTTTCATTTATAAGTAGGGGTGAGGGTGAAGGGGAGCTCTGCCTTGCCAGAGATGAGAATGTCCCAGGACACTGCTCTGGGAGTCTTTCAGGGAATCAGGTAATAGAATACAGTGGTTATGGTCTTGGCCTTTGAAGCCTTCTGGCTCCTCCACATAGTAGCTGAGAGACATTGAACAAGAGACTTAGCTTCTCTAAACCTCAAACTCTTACCTGTGAAGTAGTCTGGGTAATAATAGTACCTACCACATGAGAAGAGTTGTGATGGGACTTCCATGAGGGGAACAGTGCCCTAGAAGTGCATTTCATGCTGCTCTTGGTAACCTCAACAAAGAGATGATAATGGCAAAGATATGAAGAGGTGGCAAGTAAGTGGAAAAAAGTTACCAGTATGCTGTTTGATGAACACCAGGGTAATCATGATTTTGAGTAACTCTTTAATGTGCTTATCCTAGGCTCTAATGAACCCCAGAAAGTCATGTCTGTTTCATCAGAGACTGCCTTCTTAAATACTTGGGACTGTTCTCACACTGTGCAGGACAAACCTGACTGGGTCATATTACCTGTTCTCCCTTCTGTTAAGTTCCTTAAAGACCACACCCTTCTCTCTCTCTCTTTTTTTTTAACATCTTTTTTGGAGTATAATTTCTTTACAGTGGTGTGTTACTTTCTGCTGTATAACAAAGTGAATCAGCTATATGTATACATATATCCCCATATCCCCTCCCTCTTGCGTCTCCCTCCCACCCTCCCTATCCCACCCACACCCTTCTCTTTTCACAACCAGAATTTTGCCTTTTTTTTTGGTTCTGTTTTGTTTTCATTGTATTATTGTTTTTAACTGAGATATAGTTGATTTACAGTATTATATGTTTCAAGTGTATGACATAGAGATTCACAGGTTTTAAAGATTGAACTCCATTCATAGTTATTATAAAATATTGCCTGTATTCCCAGAATTTTGCCATTTTAAAATTAGCTGATGTTTCATGAGGTACATTTTAGTTCACTTGTTGCAATTTGAGGGATAACTTCCTTGGATTTCATTAGAAACACATTTTCAAGTCATCTTTTTTTTAAATTTTTTATTTTAATTTAATTTTTATTTATTTATTTTTGGCTGTGTTGGGTCTTTGTTGCTGCACGCAGGCTTTCTCTAGTTGCAGCGAGCGGGGGCTACTCTTTGTTGTGGTGCGTGGGCTTCTCATTGCGGTGGCTTCTCTTGCTGCAGAGCACGGGCTCTAGGCGCGTGGGGTCAGTAGTTGTGGCTCACATGCTCTAGGGCACAGGCTCGGTGGTTGTGGCGCATGGGCTTAGTTGCTCCGTGGCATGTGGGATCTTCCTGGACCAGGGCTCGAACCCGTGTCCCCTGCATTGGCAGGCGGATTCTTAACCACTGTGCCACCAGGGAAGTCCCTCAAGTCATCTCCTATCCAAGTGATTTCCGCAGATGGCTGACTTGGTCCATTTTATTTCAGAGAGTGGTAAGGAAGTAACAGACGAGTAATAGAAAGGTCTACACTCAAACGTTTTTATTGCAGTGATAGCTGTTATGAAAAATGGTGATTCTATGTGAATGGTTTTAGAATAACCAGTGTTCCAACATTGTGAATATTATATAACCACTAAAAATAATTATAAGGGTACTACAGGAGTGTGGAGAGAGTGTATAATGAAATTTGAAGAATGCTGCATAAAAATAGAATATAAAGTGTGCACAACTATAGTAATAATTATATATCAATAATAAAATAGATACATATAGGAAATATACAATGAAAATGGAGTTTATAAGTAAGGAAAATGGAATTATGGCAATTTAATAGTATTTAAAATTTTTTTTTTTTTGTCTTTTAAAAACTTCAGAATCTCATCAGGTTGGTTGTCCATTTGGGGGCTGCCTTTATGTATGCTGACAATAACATTTGACAGAGCCCAGTGTGCTGTTGTTACTTTACAGATTTCATGTGGTGACCAGCTTGGGTAATCTTTTAGGTAACAACGACTGACATACTGTATTACTTTTCTTTTTAGTGATGAAAATGCCAGGAAAGATTTAAAGACATTACCAGCCTTTCCAACCAAAACTCTGCAGGAGCACCCCTCCCTTGCCTACTGGTAAGCCACGCCAAGATTGCCAGTGACCCTGTTACAGTAACCTCCACGGAGAACGGCATGCTCTTCAGGGAACTAAAAGAAATATAAGTGCGGAAAATATCAAACTGCCCATCATACGTGTCAGTCTAATCATGAGTAGACCTTGATCCTTCCAGTGAAAAGGTCTTATGAAATCTCTCTGGAGATCATTGTCCCAAGACTGTAGTCATGTGTGAAGAGTGGCCATGTGCCTTCTCGTTCAAGTGCATGATACATTTGTAGAGTGTGCTTTTAAGTGAATCCTGCTCAGTAGATGTGCAGTCACTGTATAATGCAGGCTTAATGTGGCAGAGTGCAATACAAGTGGTATAAAATACAGATTTCCTTGAACAGAGGCATTCATAATAAACAGAAACAACCCGAATGATCAGGTTTCCTCTACAGCCAGAAGTCATTGTCTATTTTGAGTTGTTTTATTTGCCTGTATTTTAATGAATCCATAGTCCCCATTTCCCATGCAACATTTTTCCTAGAAAAGTACGTTTTCTCCCCTTGAATTACTTACATTCCCTTTAAATATATTTTCCTCGATTTAAGTCTGTGAATCCTGAAGATGGTTTTCCTTTCCACCAAAAATACTGGTTACAAAATAAATATTCAACATGAATAGCTGTAATATGAAAGTTGGAATATTTCCCAAGTCAATAGTGAGAGTAGGTACTGAGGCTACATTGCATCCTGAGTCTGGAACCTTCTAAATAAATCATTGTTAAGTGACAGTTGCTTAAGGATAAAAAGCAAAGACCAATTACTGTTGCTTATTTGTTGTATAGAGATAAAAACGTTTATTCTTCTCAGTTATACTTGAGATATGACTAATGAGCTACCAGTCTGAAAGGAGGGTAAATAACTGAATGATGTCAAGGGTGACCAGACTTCAGCCTGTTTCTCCTTTCTAGTCAAAAAGTTTTATTCTAAGACAATAATGAAGGGTTTTCTTCTA